AAAAAAAAATGTGTATGATACATGAAAACGTGTATATCGTCTAATAATCAGTGAAGGAAGAAAAGGACTCGTTTTTGTAGCCTTCTACACTCGCTATCACAGATACACAAACAAAATTGTACTTTCCTATATATCGCATCTTTTCAAGGAAAGTGACACAATTAAAAAAAAACATGATCTTCGTTTTACAGTTGTTACTATAAATAAAGGTAGAATTGGTTCTGAAAGTAAAGTAGAATATCGTTTATCCGAACTGATTGAAAAGCTGTACAGATAAACAATTTTTCGAATAATTGGTCTGATTAGAGAAAAACCAAATTTCTAGTCACAAGTCAACTAGAATTTAGACTGTTTCCAAATATGGATGTTCATTATGTAGAAGAATACGTATATCACTAGATTTTATTACAAACTTTATATTCAATTCAACAGCTTCTTTTAGATGAACGAATCTGACAATGATTTTGTTTTTCTAAGTATTCACTTGCACATGTTTAATTCATCATTTGCTATTTTCCATTTTCAATATCTTTCATAAATCTTTTAAAGAATTTAAACAATTTAAAGAATTTAATAATTTTGATTTACTTAACATCGCTGATTATAAATTTCTTTTTTCTTTTTTTTTGCTAAATTAAATGTAATTTCAGCCTTTCTTTAAAATGTTCAATATTTGATTTATTTTCTAATTACAGCGTGGCTCTATTTCTTTTAATATTCATGACAAATCGCTGAAATGATTTGACACAGAAAACATTTGAAGCAGAAAAAATACTTTTTCCAAAATATTATACAAGTATTGTTAGACACGTAGCTGAAATAATTCATTTGCGTAATTAGGTGACTGTATTCGGATAATCGAAAATTCGAGTAATCGGCCGTACGAGTCTGAATAAAGCTTTGAATCTTTATGATACAAGATAGGTTTCAAGGTACCGGTTGTGCTTGTCGGAAATTGTAAAAATCACATTTACGACTTCACTATATCGCTTCATCTTTGAAACACGCCTCTTTCTCTTTCTCTTCATTCCTTTTTACTCCTCGCTTCTTTCAAGACTCTTTCCATACCATAAAAAATATCCAGAAAATGTTTCGCAACTATCACTAACAATTGTCGAGAAAACGACTTACAAGATCTTGATACGGACCAGCTTGTGTGTATGAATTTGGTGGATGATTCCCTTTTTCTCATCGAAGGAAAGATTACTTAAACAGCATAAATCTCATCAAAAAAGAAAATTGTAAAATATATTCCAGAAGTTTTTAGATGAAAGTCAGAAGTTTAGAATGTTCTTTCATTCAAACGATACCGCGATTTACAAATATAATATATTACTTCTGAATCTTTCGTTTGATTTATTACAATCTTGTATCAATAAAATTGGATAGAAATCTCAGCCTTAGGCTTCTCAAATTAGCCTGAAAGTCACTTTTGAAACGATTCGATAAAAGAGCGTGAACTA